TTCTCCTACGTTTTCGTCGACGTATGACTTTGAACACATGACAGTTCAAATACCCCCAATGAATGAGGGGGATGGGTACAATACTCCTGAGCCACAACGGCCACAACGTATCAGACGTCCGCCCCGACATTATCATTCAACAACACCCCGACATCGACAACAATTGTAAACTCGTTTGCTATTTATTACAAATATTTCACTCACCATCTTGAGCAACTGCCATCAAAAGTACATGCCTATATTGACCATACAACCACGTACCATCTACTTGGATCATACGTTTGCAAAATGGAAATCCTTCAATACATGCCTTGAATGCCCAAAATAGTCTATGAAATATTTTCTTCCCTGGCAGAAGTTGACCTTCTTCGTCATATGCGGGCATGGTTTGAGACTTCACTATAGTTCCTGGGATAAATCGCTTCATTGCTTGTAGCAAATGTGGTAGCTCATTGTACGATGTATCCCAATCTCCATACGTCAACTTCATTGCCTTCATTTTCGCATTCCACACCTTGCCATATTTTACTTGATATCCAAATTGGCTTCGAATAGATGCAGCTAACACTGAACAAGATATCATTGGATCCTTTTCAACCATCGCCTTCACGTATTCACATATTACATCGGAGTCCAATAGTCGGTGGTCTTGTTCGATGGAGTTTCGCAAACATGTGTGCGAACCATTGTACCTCGTGATGACCCAAACATCGTGCCTTTGATTTTTCGACACTCTGATCTTCCACTTGCACTCTGGGCCATATTTTACACACTTTGCGTATAGGATTTTCTGGTTGGACTCTGCAACATGGACATCAACATGGCATTTGATGCAGTACTCTTTAATAGCCAGCGTAGCTTCATTTTTTCCTCTGAATTGCACCCCAACTGAAAATTCACCAGAATTATCGAATGATTCAGTCATTTGGTACGGAGGTAAATGTGGTATGTCTGGGAATTCAGGTGCCCTCATTGCATCATAATCTATCTCGTACATGTGAGGAGTAGCTTCATACGGTGTCGGAACTTCATCAATTGCACCTCCACCAAAAATATTTTCGTCGCCGCCCAAAACGGGTTCTTCAGTTTCTTCATCTTCGCTTGAATCATCATGAATTTCTCCCCATCGATTTTCAGCATCAATATCAACAACCAATTCCGGTATGTTTCTCGTCTCATACTCTGCTGCTGTAGATGTCCCCCCAACTTCATTTACACTTTCCAATAGTGCCATAAAACTGTTCGGGAACCTGTATGTCGGCTCCTCAAACTGACTATATAAAGCCATTTCAGATGGATTTTGAGCCACACCTCTTGATGACCCAGGAACATCACATATGTTGCTCACATCAACAAATAATTCAATAACTGCTATATTGGTTGACTCATGTAATCCAACCATGGTTCCAATATCATCATCTTCTTCAAGTGGAACTGCAGCATATCTGACTGGGTTAGAGCATATCATAAACCTATACCTCAAACCATCAACTGCATCTCGAATTTTTCTTTCTATCTTATGCTTCATTTCTATAAATGTGATGTCTTTTTTGAACACATATTTATTGGTTTTTCAGACTGAAAAACTACTCCGACCTCATTTTCCATAATCTGTCCATTATAATGGACAATCGTGAAAAAGTTGTTGCTCATTTTCTCTACAAATAAAAAAATAAATTAATTCAGATTAAAAAATTAGATAAGATAATTTCATAAATTATTAAATATAATATAATATACTATTATTAATGATCAAATAAAATTTATTATTTAACTTGATTGATTGCTTACTAATAAACCTAATAATGATTTGATAATTACTATTAATCTAATGATTTGATATTTAATGATTTAATAATATGATTTAGTCATAATCATTAATAATTATTTATTATAAATATTTAATGATTTAGATTTGATACTAATCATTTAGTAATTATTACTAATAATAATGATTAGTTTGATAATATTTTTTATTTTTTAAAAATATCAAACAAATTTGTTAGGCAAAACTGTCGAGATAATGTTCTCGAAATAATTATTTCGCGAGATAATGCGTTGTCCGGTTTATTTCATTCAATTAATTTTTACTTCTTACTAATATACACATACAATGTAAATTAAACAAAATATTTTTAAAACAACACTAAATATTTTTAAACACAATATTTTTTAAAACGGAAATTATCTCGCACAAATTAGTTTATATAATCTAATATAAACTTACTAACTAACTAATTTACACATACACAACAACAAAAAATGGACAACAAAAAATAATAAATTACTCACGTCTTTATGCCTTCTTCCTTTACTTTCTTTTCCTGCCTTGTTTTTTTCTTCGAATCAATCTGTACGTGGGCAAATATTGTGAAATAATGTCATGTATGTGTAAACAAAATATTTATTTAAACAACAATAGCTCCCACAAATTAATTTTATATAATCTAATATATTATAATATACCTTAAACTAATAAACTATTTCTTTATTATAATATAACTTAGTTAAAATAACAAACTAATTAAGCACTAATTAATTTTTTTATAATATAACTTCAACTTCAACGAACAACCTAATATACGTTTAAAGACACTAACAAATTAATTAATATTTTTTATATTTAATAACTTAAACTAAGAAACTAATTAACTAATTTTTTATATAATATAATATATAACTTAAACTAATAAACTAATATAATATAACTTAAACTAACAAACTAATAATTTATACTAACAAACTAATTAACTAGATTTTAGTTTTACCCTAAACCCGAAACTAACAAACTAATAATTTCATATAATAAACTAAATTAAACAATAAAAAAATTATCTCACGAACTATGTTTGAGCCTTTATCTTCTTTTCTTCTTCTTCCTTTTATTTCTCTCGGCAAAGTTTATATGTGCTGGTTCTGCTTGTGCTTCTACCCTAAACCCCATATCCTTTATATAAAGCAACTGAGCGTTAACTATTGAGCATTGAAAGGCTGACAGCTAAATTAACGCTGCAATAACGCAACTATAGATGCAACACATACAGCTACAGGTACAGGAATCTCTGAGCTATGATGCAACGCATGCATGCAGCTACAGGACCTTGGTCGCCGAGACTCCATGGCGACCTACCTACCACCGTGACCTACACCGTTCGACGTGCATGGCCATGCACAGTTCCCACGTCCAATGCACAGCATGCATCCCCTCCCCCATGCATTCCCACCCCATGCATTCCCACGTCCCATGCATCCCCTCCCCCATGCAATCCCACGTCCCATGTTGATTGCATGGCGACCTATTCCTTTGCAAAATACACACAGGTCGCCCGGATGCCATGGCGACCTCTAAGGTCGCCCGGATGCCATGGCGACCTCCAAGGTCGCCCGGATGCCATGGCGACCTCCAAGGCCACTGTAGAATTCACCCCATTCCAGCAATTAATCTGGGATGTGCACCATTTCGTGAAAAAAAAAATCGAGAACATTATCTCGTGAATTCACCCTGTACTTCAGGTTCCCTTTTAGTTTAAACAAAGATTAAGGAATAGAGAGGAGTGCTGCCGTTTTAAGTTTTGTGGGTTGAGAGTTACTTCCTTTTTTTCTGTCTTTCGGGGATTATTATGTACATGGTCTTTTTAGTTTGAAGATCAATGCATTTTGATCCTTGTTCTGAGGTTTCTGCAAGTTTTGATTTGATCCTTTCTTTTATGCTTATTTTATTTTAGTTACTAATTACTTTCTTTGCCCTGGTTTAGCTTATTTCACATTTGCCATGTTGTTTTAAATATTTTTGTTTTAGTCCCATTTCATGTTTGTAGAATGATTGCACTTCCAGTATCATTGTTATGTCTTCCTTATGCATGAATATATTCACTGTTCCATACATATCTTTTTAAATGCAACTATGGATTATGATATCCAACATATATGCGCATGAACAGTTGGTAATGTGCTTTGAATATAGGTTCGTGTTTATATATAACACGTGTAGCCCATTACAATATATATTTATTTACATCATTACTCTCATAATTCTATATGCATCGTACTAAGTATTATTTCTTTCGAACATAATCATTAAAATTAATAAAATTATAAGGTAATATTATTTGGTGCGAATAATTTATGGAAAGGAGCCTTAACTAGCGAGGAGTGTTTCTTCAAGAATTATTCATATAAAATTACATGCTTTTACTTGAATAAGTTTTAAATAGATATTTCTACCTAAAATATTTAAGGAAATATTATTTCGTAAGAGAAATCATGGAAATACGACTTAACTGGTAAGGAGAGTGTTTCTGAGGATTGTTCGTACGAAATGATATCATTTTATTACTAGAATATTTTCTGAACATATATATATATATATATATATATATATATATATATATATATAATTTATTACAAAGATCTAGGTAAAAGGTCTTTTATGTGAAGAATCAATGAAAATGCGTCTTAACGGGTGAGAAGTATGTTTCCAAGTATCGTTCAAATAAAAGAATATCTTTTTTTAAAAAGTTTATTTAAAGAAGAGGATTATAATTTAAATATCATTCAAATTTACAAGTTTTGATTAAATATGATGTATAATAACTTAGTATTGATTTTGGGCATTGTGAGGATGCTCACCTTCCCCACGCGTAATCGATTCCTGATCTCCGTTTTGAAATTAATTTCTAGTTCAACGTAGACTGGATTATATTTTATCTTTTAATTTAATTTTTTTATATATTTATTTTGAAAGGTAATTTTTTTAGATATTCGACATACCTAACCTAAAAACTTAAAAGGTCGGCGACTCCAAATCTGTTTTTCCAAAACCATAGTTTTTTTAAATTAAATTGGTTTGATCCCATTCAAGCCCAAAAAAAACTTAAGGACCATTCTGACTCGTATCGAGGATGGAGTCCAAAGAGAAATCTAAATCCAGAACAAAGCACTAATGAAAAAGAAGAAGAATATTGAACTAAACCAGAAACGTAAAACCAAAGATAGCAAGTGTAGGAACAAATTCTACTCCTTTTAAACACAAAACATAACACCTTGACTACAAAAGAAGCTGCCAAAATAAAGTTTACAAAAACTCTCCCATATATAAACATGTACCCATCTCTTCTTTTTCCATTTACTTTTAACTTTACACCAGCATTGCATCATAAGCTTCCTTATGTACCACCACTAACTCCACTAGCAGTATCATCATCATCATCACAGAAACAAAATTGGGGTTTTCATTTTAATCTAAAAATACTGCTAATTACAATTAAATCAGAATCATTGATTCTCTTGTGTTCGAGCTTTCTTGACCTGTTTCGAAACATCGAGCTGCAGTTGCAGAAGATTCCTGATCCTGACCTCGAGTGCAGCATTAGAACGACGGGTAGGCGATGGTTTTCTTTTGAGCGGCCTTCGTCTTCTAGGTGCCGGAGGACATTTTTTTGGCTCTGGGATTTTATGTTCCAAGGATGTCGGAGTTTTGAACCCATCATTGTCGTCGTCGTTAACGTCACCGGCACCCAGTTCTTCTTTCTTCTTCTCTTTGGCTTCGTTTCGAGCTGATGCAACCTTCATTTCTTCTTCTTCTCCTTCTCGTTTTGTGGGGAACAATGAAGAAGTGGGTGTAGTTTCGTGACAATCCAACGCGGATGATTTAATGATATCAAATTTGATCCCTTCTTCTTCTTCATCATCTTTAGCTACCTTCGGGTCTGGATTCGACATGCTCAGAAACTTGAGAGAGAAAAAGAGTGTGTGTGTGTGTGTGTATAAGATATTTCTTAAGCAAAAATAATGCAATATAATATCATGAAATGGCCATCTTTGAGGGTTTTTTCTTCTAAAGTTCGGGTGAGAGTAAGAGAGAAAGTAGGAGGAAACAGTTTAAGAGCAGAGAGAGAAGGGCTTATAAAGAGAGAGATTTAAGGAGTTTTTCTTTTAGGTAATTGTGCATCGGATCCTTCGCCAACTGGAGGGTGGCTTTGAAAGCCTCACATTCACCACCAACCATTTTACTTTCTCTCTCAGGTATATCAATTTCAGGAACTATAGTTAACATTATACCTTTCTTCTGCTCACTTACTTTTTGATATTCTATATTTCTTACTTTTTTTTCTATATTTCTTTATTAACATAAAATAATAATATATTAGTAACGTATATGTTTTGAAGACTCTCAATTATTAAACATTAAACACTCAAATATCCCTATAAACGTTGTGTTTAAATTAGAATTCTAAAAATATTTAGGACAGATCTTGTATTATCCCAAACCCAATTAATCTAATTTGTCACTATTAGGATTTAGATTATATCAAATATTGTTGGGTATTAGGATTTATATTATATTAATAGGGTATTTTTATTAAAAGAATTTAATTTCAAATATTAAAAATAATTAAGATGTCAATAGGACAGGTTTCGTGGGGACTTATCCCACTTCAAACCTAATTAGCTGTGGATAGGTGCAAGTTTCATGGGTGGTGAGATGGGAATAGAGACAAAAAAAAAATTGACTCGTATTAAAGTTATATTTTAATTTATCAATCACAGTAGCTTATTATTGTTATTATTAAAATGAGGACAATTGAAAAAAAAAATACTACATACGTGATGAAAGTCAGGAAGACATAATATTATATTTTTTTCATAAAAAGTAACTTATATTTATTTTACGTATAAAAACAATAATTAATCCTAAAATCTTATTCTTACAATTCTATCAAGGTTTCATTTAACAAATTTGTAATGATCACCGGCGACTGCAGTGTATTTGAGTGTTCGTTGTTAAATGATTGAAAATATATAGAACAAATACTACCACGTGTAAACACCATAAATTTCAATAATAAAAAAATTTTGCAAACCTTGAATGCAATGATTGATCATCCACACACAATATAGTTTTATTAAAAAAAAATGAACTTGTAATACCCCAAAGTAAATCTTTGTAATAAAAGTGAGATTTTAATCGAGTGGATCCATAGTTTATCTGTCTTGCAAGCAAAGGCCAACAAACTTTGACTTTACATTATAGCATCACTCAATTTTCTTTGTTGAATAAATGCAATCCCCAATACGAAACCGTTGTCCCATCTTGGAGGACGGAGGAGAAGGTTTGATTTCAAATTATAATAATGAAAATTAGAGGTTTTGATGACGAATATGTCCAATGTATCCCCCCCCCCTCGTGTGGTATCAAATGTTGGTACATTTCAGTCAAACCAGAAACTTAATACATTGGGATTTTCTTCACCAACTCTTTATTTCCAATGGCATCTCCAGATATGCAAATTTGACTTTAATGCTTCACTTGGGCAAAACTTGCGTGTGGATTCTTAATATGAGTTAAGCTTTGAAGATATCTTATGTTAAGCCCTAACGTTAATCTATTGATAAGAGTGTTCATCCTACAATTTACGTTATAAGTTTAAATTGTAAGATTTATTTATTTGTGATGTGTGAATACAACAATTATTTATCGGGAAAACTATATATTACCCCCAAAGCCAGGTTGAGAGCAGCTTCCGTGGAAGATCTCCGTTATGAATTGCCCTATGTGGGACTCGATCCCACGACCACAAGGTTAAGAGCCTTGCGCTCTACCAACTGAGCTAGACAGATAATTCAAAACTATATATTTATTCATCTATTTATTTCTGAAGTTTTGTTTTGATCATCTAACTATTTTTTTAAATCATACATAACATTACGTTTTAGTTATATTTTGGTCACCCGTCCTTAAAAGATTAACAGTGAAGCCGACGTATCGTCGTAAGGTAATGCCACACCATCATTGAAAAAAATAAAAATTGCCACGTTTGTAGTTTTGTTTATTTTATAATGACGGGTGGTCAAAACTGAATCAAAACGTAAGATCAGATATGAATTTTTTAAAAGAATAGGTGACCGAAATATGTGTGACTAAATACTAAGTTTACCTTACTAAGATGTTTCTACTATTTTTTTTTTCTTATTAACTAAATGGAATAAGGATTGTGTTGCATTTTGGTTGTGACCCACAGATAAATGGAAATTATGGTTTGTATTGGATGGTGTGGCTTAGGCAAAGGGTCGTTTTCCATGAAATTTTCCTGGAAAAAGAGTAACTGAAACGCAGTGTTTGGGATCGGGTAACTTTGGATTCCCTGCCCCAGACAGTGTAAGGAGTTAGGATTTGGTAAAGCCTCCTCCTTACTCAACTAACCACTAGCACCAGTCCCCGTATCTCCTATTATTATTTCAATTTAATATGATCTTTATTATTGTTGTTTCAAACTAACAAGTTAGTTAAGTACATTGATATTTAATACTCCCAAATCTCTTTTCAGATCATGTATTCAACATAAGATCTGAGATAAAGAAAAGAGATCGAGCTTTGAAGAGATTAAATTTGCTGAAATTTGATCTTAATTTCTCTGAATTATCTGGTAATTCTCTATCAGATTCGGATTTGAATAAAAGGTGGGCTGCTTACGTTGGAAAATTGAGGTGATGTGGTATGTTCGTGGTTTCCGATTGGTTTATCGATGCTAGTTGTGTATTCCTTTCTTCATTTTTTGGAGGCTTTCGTAGAGCTTTGTGTTGGGTTCTCTTCGTTGCTATAGAGATTTTGGTTCCACCATTTTTTTCTGTTTGTTCGTACTGGATCTGATGGAGGAGTAGTTTTGTGACCCATTAGGTCCTTTTGTGCTAGTGAATGCCGAGGTTTGTTGTTTTTTGGTAGTTTGGTTCAGGCAGTGTTGTTTTTTCTTGCTTGACTAGCATTTTTTGAGACGGTCGGTTTGGTGTGCTTTATCGATTGTTGTAATTGAGAGCTCTGGCTTTCATTTATTCCACCTCATGGTATACTCTTTTTCCTCCAATTAGGTCTAGGGAGGTTTTTTAATGAGGTCCATGAGGTGGTGTACCTTGTATATCTTCAATACAAAGTACCCATCTATCAAAAAAAAAGATGATGTAGCTTACCTCATGCTTCCACCTTTCTCTTAGCATCAGTGGGAACTGTTCTTATCCTATATTATGTTACCATTTAAAAATATTTTCGAGGGTGAATATATGTGTATTAGTAACGTAAAATTGTTAAATGTAGATAAACACAAATAAAATTTCAGATGAACACAATCAATAAAATGGATAATTAATATAAAGAAATTCTAATTTTATGGTGGATAAATTATCCCCCTAAACTATGTTTGCATCTATCACCGGCTATATAACAAGTTAAAAATGTACCTCCTTTGATCATAATGTGATATTATTATTGTTATTGATTATATTTTTTTATCTATATTTAAAGACATTGTTATATTTACAATCACAATAAATACAAGACAATTATAAGTACGTTTGTGACTGCGATTTATGTTCATAATCATCTTATGATGTTATAATGTGTGATTAACGTTGTAACGAGGGGGTGAAGATAACTGTTGAAAAACGCATTCTTCTGATACAGAATAATTGGATGCATGTTGAAGATACTATTTTTTATCCATATTATTATTATTATTATTATTATTATTAATATTATTATTATCATTATTATTATTATTATTATTATTATTTTTACTATTATTATTAAATATATTAAATCCATATAAATTACAAACCAATTACAATTAAACCGGTCCAGTTACAAACCAACTAAAACCGGTCCAAATCCAACCAGAAACCCTAAATATTTGGGTTTCCAGTTAGGGTTTCCTAACCCTAATTTGATCAGCCGCCTCAGCTCACAGCCGTTGGATCTGATAAGATCCAACGGTCCAGATGATGCCAGAAGGAAACCCTAGGGTTTGATACCCTAGGGCCACGCGGCGCCGCTCCAGCTTCCACGCGGCTGCCGACAGCCCTCGCCGCCTCCGCCGCTGCCACATCCCAACCGAAGACTCCAGAAGATCATATACCAGCCGTCCATGCCAGGCTACGGGGTGAGTCACCACTGGTAGTCCGGTGACTCACCGAAACCCCCTCTTCGGACCGGTCCGAGACGAACACCGGTGGTGGCTATAAAAGCCACCACCCACCTGCGAAGAAAAAAAAAGGGAGACAGATATATACAACGAGACAGAGAGACAGAAAAAAAAACGAAAGAGACATAGAAAAAAAAACAGAGAAAATCCAAACTATTACCAACGATCTCAGCAGCAAGAAAACCAGGAAAAAAAAAAGAAAAAAGAAAGAGGAGACTTACCGAGGAAGCCTCGACCACCGGATCTCGTCAGAACCAACAAAAACCGAAGGTATATTTGTAGATTTGCTCCGATTGGGAGCTTCTTAAGGAAAAAGAATACCGGAAACGTCCTTAAGACATCCCGATCTATTTAATGGTGTCAAAATACAATTTTCCGGCCACCGGATACGGTGGCCGGCGGTGATAATCACGGCGGCACACGGTGGCCGACCGGTGACCGGCTTCCCTCCGGTGAGGGAAGCTAGAGAGCGGCGAGAGAGTTTTTAAACTCTCTCGGTTTAGAGAGAGAGAATGAAATGAGGAATGAAATGGTTGGCCCTTCGGGCCAGCCAATTTGGACTCTTATAGTCCTTCCCGAACGACGTCGTTTCGGGAAGGACTATGCGCGTAATTATGGAAAAGTTAAATCCCTTCCGCAGTCCTTCGTATTTGTAAATTTTACATTTTGGTCACTAAACTGAATTTATAATAATTTTAATTCAGTCTTTGAATTTTAATTTTATTCATTTTAGTCCTTTTTATTAAAATAATATATTTAGGATAAATGACAGATTTAATCCATTAATTTTAATAAATAATTTTTTTATCCCTAGTTCATATTTTTAATTTATTCTATTATAAAATTTAAATTTTAAATAATTTCATTTTGGTCACTAAATTATTAAATTAGAAAATAAAATATTTATT